CTTTTTGAATGAGAATTGGAATTATTGGAAATCACACAATGTGGATTGAATGAAATGGTCTCAGTTCTGTTTATTCGCCTCCCCTTCTCTCGCGCTCCCTCTTGTTCCTTTGTCCAAGCATCTTCCTACCGCCCCAGCTTCAGCCCTTTATCCTCACATGTCACTGAGAGACCTAACCCCAGCCTGCACCCCATTAGACATGGTTAGTTGTCTCTGTGTGGGTGCTTTATAGCTCGGATACAAAACTCAGCATGTCAATCACTCAGATTTGGCAAGACATTGAAATCCTTAATTAAACTGAACAATAAACAGAGAGGTTCTCTAGATTCACATGCTTAGTCAGGAACTGACATGGCAATGGTATTATGTGTGCCAACATGGAAACCATGAGCATATTGCAAGAGGTTGACATTGGTTTGACATCAAGTGGGGGGGGGGTGTAGCCAAATGAGGAGCATTACATGAACCATAATCGTCAACCTTACAATCAATGACAAGGATGTCATCAGTACAAAATCGGAAACACTTCTTGGGCAGACAGCCTTGTGTAAGGTTGTGGCAGCATGTATGCAAAGACGTGTGCTTCCAGAAGAATCTTCTGGGGTAGTTCTTGTTATCAGGGGCTCTTTCACAACCTCCCAGCTTTGGGAAGGTTTGGCACAAGTGACTCCATTTTGATTCGGACAACTTTCATAATCTTAAGGAATATGTTTTTTGTGTTTGTTCCCCTGGCTCCTGCTGTTGATGCCACCATTAACACGAATGCTGGAGGACCTGCCTCTGGGACTCCACTGCGCTGCTCCATCATCACACAGCCTGAGGTGATGCCGTGACTTTAGACTATCCTTCCACTTCACCTTAGGCATGTTTCTTCTTTAAAACCTTCTAGAACTTGCTCCCAGCTCTCCCTCCCCCTTGACCACCAGCACTGTAGTTTCTGAGCCTGCCCGACACTTCAACTGTTTGTCTCAGCCTCCCATCTGTGCTCCCCACCCCCAGTCCGTACTTATCCATCACACTGTGGCCAGTCTGCTTGCCCTCCTCATGCACTTCAGATAAGTCAGACTGGATGCCTACACACATCCCCAGCCATCTCCATGTGCCAGCTGTCCCGGGCTATATGCGCTTCTCTTGGCACCCCAGGTGCTTGGGGGCATCGGGGTGTGTGTGCTGGCATCGGGGTGTGTGTGCTGGCATCGGGGTGTGGTCAGGCATGCCTATCTTCTTCCTCCTTTCACACGTGGATCCTGCCACGTGGCTCTTCATCTCACCCAACGCTACCTCTTCCGTGATGCTGTTACTCGCCTTCCTACCGCCAGCCCCCATGCTGTTGGCTCAAGCCTCCTCCAAGCTCTCACAGAACTCTGTCTATGTTCCTTTTCAGGGCATCCAGTGTGTGTCATAGTTGGCTTGCCTCTTCTCTTGATTTGCGCCTTGATGGAACGGTATTACCCTTGTCTCCTGCACACCCCCAAGCTTAGTGCACTGCCTTGCATTCAGCAGATACTATATAGACTTTGTAAAGGTGACGGAGGATTCTTCTCTCTTTGTTTAGTTTTGTTCTTCAAGACAGGGTTTCTCTGTGTAGTTTTGGTGCCTTTCCTGGAACTCACTTGGTAGCCCAGGCTGGCCTCCAACTCACAGAGATCCGCCTGCCTCTGCCTCCCGAGTGCTGGGATTAAAGGCGTGCACCACCACCGCCCGGCTATCTTTGTTTAATTGGAATTGTTTCTTGATAATGTCTTAAGTATCATGTTTGTATTATTTCTACCCCTTCCTCTTCCCCCTCCAAAGCCTCCCATGTTCCTCCACACTCCCTCTCACATTCATGACCTTTTCTTTAACTAGTATTCACACACACACACACACACACACACACACACACACACACACACCCTAGTTGGGTACATTTAGTTTTGCTTTTATGTACATGTGTTTAAGGATACTCACTTAGGATCAGATAACCTAGTTGAGAACCTATCCCTAGAGAAGAAGGATCCTTCCTTTCTCAGCAGCCACTGAATGCCTGTATCTCTTACCTAGGGGTGAGGCCTTGTGAAATTTCTCCCATCCACTATGGCATGTCACATGGTCACTATGCAGGTCTTTTTAGGCAACATCTGTCTAGAAGAAACTATCTCATAGCAGGCATCCCGGTCCTCTAGTTCTTACATTCTTTCTGCCCCCTCTTCAATGATTTTTCCTGAGCCTCTGTCTAGGAGTTGCAGTGTAGATGTATTAGTTGAGGTTGGACACCCCATGGTCAGTTGCTCTCTGCATTTGGACCAGTTGTGGACCTCTGTAGTAGTCTATCTCGTGGCAAAGAGAAGATTCTTTGACAAGGACCGAGAGCCACACTTACCAGACTGGGTTGGTCAGATTTTCTCATGTGGAGGATGATTGTGTCTAAAGAGCTCAAGTCAAGACGCTGAAAAAAAAAAAATCAAGGTTATGGGACTGGAGACGCAACAGTTAAGAGTGTGTACCCACGTTCCCAGTACCCATGTAGGCAGCTCACCACCACCTGTCACTGCAGCTCCTGGGTATTTGATGCCTCTGGCCTCTGCTGGCACCTGAACTTGTGTACACTAACCCACGCAGAGATACACAGATGTACACATAAATTAAAAATAAAATGTTTTCAAAAAATGCCAATCAATATTATTCCAAAAGATTGATCAGAATCCCGAGAGAAGGTGTCCAACAGCAGTGGGTCATCCTGCCCACAGAGGTGTCAGTCCCGGGAACTGGTCTCCTCGTCCTCAGACAATGCTTCTCGCGCACTGACTGCTCCGTGGAAGTTCAGATTCAGAGCCAGGGCCAGGGAGGAATGCACAAATCCAGTCAGCAATGCTTCTACCACCCCGGCATCTGGAATCCTGCCCTGACTCCCTTTTCCAGAAGAACAAGTGGCACCCACATATTCCCAAGACATATTCTGCTCCCATCACTGACAGGCCTGGGAATTTCCCACAAGCCATCTGGGTCTTCTCTGATCCTTATTTCTTAAGTTTTTTCAGGGACTGTACCCCACTAACAGTCCCATAGAGAGAATCTACTCTCTCTCTCTCTCTTTTTTTTTTTTGGAAGACATTTTCCCATCTTCCCAGAGAAAGAAATTTGTCAGTATGAACTCCTTTGCACTTATGTAGCAGAGTCACTTACATGCATTTCTTAAACCCACAATGACCACTGTAAATGTCTAGGGTATGAACTGCTGTGATTGGGCCTGTGTCTATTTGAAAGCTTATTTTATTTTGGGTCCTACCTCGAATCCAGCACCCTAGGTCCTCTAACTCTTTGTCACTTGGAGAAAGGAGAAACCATTCAAGCCCATCTGGGTCTTCATTCTCTACTGGCTCCCCTTTGACACTCTTCTGGCATTTGGCAAAGTAGATGCCATGGGATTGCTGTTTGCCGAGGCTATTTGGCCACCCTTTTCCTTCAGCTGTGATCCTTGTCCTTTGAACCAACACTGGGAGCTTTATGTGGCTTCCTGGCATGACCGGGTGCCACCTTCTTCTATGTCTGCATCAGCAACAAGATTTTCTTTGAAAAATCTTTAAATTTACTCAGTAAATTCAGCTCCAAACAGTTTCTGTAAACACAGCATTACTTTTGTTTTGTGCTCACAAAGTCTAACTTGAAAAGGTTATCTGGGGACTGTCAAAACTTGTCGTTAGTCTGTGTTTAGATAACTTGATTTAGAGTCCAGAGGTGGAGCTCGATGGTAGGGTATTTGCCTCACCCACACAAGGCCCTGGGTCTGAACCCCAGCATTGGAAATTAAAATTGGAAGAATCACAAAGAAACTTGATTTAAATAAAACCACAAACTTTTTGCTTTGTTTCTCACGCTTCTGGGGTGGGGTTCAGCACCTTGCCATGCTCGGTAAGCACTGTGCCGCTAAACCACACCCACAACCCTTACGTTATTGCTCTGTTTTTGAGACAACATCTCACTGTATAGCCCAGGCTGACTTAGAATTCACCACCTTCCTGCCTCAGTCTCCAAATGGGGTTACAGGCACGTGCTACCACCATACCCAACCCAAACAAAACTATTGATTCAAGTTCAGCGTTTTGCTTTGTTTTATTTTAATGGGAAATCATTTGAAATTAAAAAATGATATTCTGGCCCTGAAAAGTGAATTATTCTCTAAGTCCTTCACTAAGAAATGATCAAAACACCAAGACCATTTGTAAGGAGCGGAGGAGTTGGCCCAAAACGCCTAGGAGCTGAGCACCAAGAATATCTTTCCATTTATACGAAGATGGGAGATTTGTTCACAAACAGCGCTTGAATGTATGGCATTTTCTTTTAGCTTTTGGCCTATGTAGTCACACATTCTCAATCTATAAACTCATTTCAAAACAGAAGAGGGGCTTCTTAAATGCAGAGAAGGTTCCTCTTGAACCATAGTATCTTAGCCACAGAAAGACAGGCAAGCAACCAACTTTTAGTTTTTGCTAGAACCCAGACACAGATGTGTTCAGAGTTTTTCACCCTTGCTGCCGTTGTAGAGAGATCTGAACAACAATGACCCTCACATCTCTCTGTGGTCTTAGGAGAGAGCAGGAACCCTGGCCAGCGGAGCGGGCCTCAGAACAATGGTACAGCTGTTCCTAAAAGTAGCCCCATTCAGGATCTGCTTGCTGTCCACAAGGAAAGACACGCTAATTCACAAGGAGCTGCCTTTCTCTACAGGGGAAAGAAAAACACCTGGTATTTACAGAAAAGAAAATTGGACCCTTCAGCCTTCTTTTAGTGGCTGTGCCCGAAACGGCAGTGAGGAAGGCCAAAAATCCACTCAGGCAGTCTCGACGTTAAGGCATGATTCATACTGCCTGCGATGCCCAGGATGGAAAATCCAGCTAGTGAAGCAAGATCAGCCAAAAAACCTCCCAGGAGCTTCTTTGCCAGGGCCGATTTCTGCTGTCTTGTGACGCGGCTGTGTGTGAGTGCATGAATGACTCTCTCTTTCTCTTGCCCTCTCTTAGTTCATGACCAAGAACCCCACCATGCGCTTGGGCAGCCTGGCTCAGGGAGGCGAGCACGAGATCTTGAGGCATCCTTTCTTTAAGGAAATCGACTGGGCCCAGTTGAACCATCGCCAACTAGAACCGCCTTTTCGGCCCAGAATCGTGAGTGTCAAGGTTGTTGTACTACTTTCTCCCTTTTCTCCAGATGATCGAAGTCCATGGAAAAGCTGATGTCTCCCCTGGGATGGCAGAGCGAAGGTTTGCCGGCCCCTCCTGCAGAGGGAGACTGGGCGGGCGGCCCCTGAGACAGTGTCTCTCCATGTGTTGACTGCTTCTCACAAAGTTGTCACCTCTTGTCTGCCTTACCTCTACCCTCCCTTAACCTAAAGGAAAACATCCCAGCCTCTGGTATGCCCGAAGCTGTTTTAAGTTTCCCTAGCTTCTCGGGCCTAGAAGAATTGAACTGATTGGTGAGTCATTATTCCTAGCCAATTCTCTCAAGCTTCCTGGGGGCATCATTTGTGCCTTTCCCAAGCCCTAAGAAAATAAAGAAGGTGCAAGGTGCTCCGTCACTGAGCCTGGCTACACAGCTTGTCACAGCTACTGTGACAAAGGATGCAGGCCAGACAGGCAGAGCCCCTTTGGCGAAATACTGAGGACACCAAACGGTGCCAATCTGAGCCGCAAAGTCTGAGAGTGACCCACTTCATGGTCTTTGAGCTGAGCCGTACATATATGCCTCCAGAGTAAGAGGACAGAGAAGGCAGGCTCAAAATAGATCAGGACTGTCAGGGAGGTGACGTGGTCTGGAGGTGGAGAAAGAAGTGTCCTTGAGCCACGGGAGAAGTGGGAGGTCTAAGAGTGATTAAGATGAAAGAAAAAGCCGGGCAGTGGTGGCGCACGCCTTTAATCCCAGCGCTCGGGAGGCAGAGCCAGGCAGCTCTCTGTGAGTTCGAGGCCAGCCTGGTCTACAGCGTGAGATCCAGGACAGGCACCAAAGCTGATCTCTAACATCAGTTCATAAAAGATGGCATTTGCATAGTTCTTCAGACCAGAGTGAGCTTAGTCTGCACCAGTCTGCCAAGTCACTCATCCCATGTCCGGCCCTCTAGTCACCGACCGAGTCCTGCCAAATGGGACAGCCTTGACTTTGACTATCCAGCAGCCGAGGGAACCTACCAGCTCCAGCCCAGGGGGGTATATTGTTGCTGACCAGTAACAGGAGAATCACGCTTGCTCTAAGCTCGGCAGCACCGTGAAATCACCTGAGAACCTCTTCTCACACGTGTAGAATGTGTGCAAACAGTAAGTGAGGGGAGCATGAGTTGACCCAACTCCTGGACAGATGTGAGCAGGCATGCCCTCTCAGTGAGGCCTGTTGGAAAGCAGTGCCTCAGTGAAATGGAGGACCATGGGTGAGTGAGTAAGCAAGTCTGAGTGACCACATTTATTCTTTAGACTCCCAGTCCAAGGCTGTCCCACTTGGCAGGACTTGGTGACTAGAGGGCCAGACATGGGATGAGTGACTTGGCAGTTGGCAAAGGCCGTAATAATACATGTAGTGGGATGGCCATAAAGTACTGCTTAGTCACAGCTATCAGAACCATAAACGATGCTGCTGACCGATACTGAAGAGAGTTCTCTGAACTCCTTGGAATGGGCTGAGTCCCATGCAAGAGGCGAAAACCCCAGGCACATATACGTACAATTTGACCACGGTTTCCTATTCTTTTTTTAACAGAAATCCCGAGAAGACGTCAGCAATTTTGACCCAGACTTCATAAAAGAAGAGCCCGTTTTAACGCCAATCGATGAGGGACATCTTCCTATGATTAACCAGGATGAGTTTAGGAACTTTTCCTATGTGTCACCGGAATTGCAACCATAGCCTTATGGGGAAGGAGAATCACAGGGGAATGTGGATTGTTTTTTTCCAGGAATTTCTTTTGTGGGGATTCCTTAGCATCCGCCTTAGAATACCACCTTCACCTTCAAGGCGCCAATGTTCACAACTCCTTGAAGGGTGGAGCTTCAAGAGAGCCACTCTCTCAAGACCCAAGGAGCCATGGTACATTTCTGTAGTTGAGACTGAGACAGGATGTTACAAAGACGTGCACTGCTCAACCCATGAGTCTACATGGCTATTTCAGGCTTGGAGTAAATGACAGCAACCGAAAGGAGAGATAGTGGGAAGAATATAGTAGAGCCTAGAAATTATGAGCCGAACAGGCTTTTTTACTTCAAGAGACAAATCTAGACTTTCTGTGGACCACTTTACACTCGTCTTTAAGCCAATGTTGCAGTCTGCAAAAGACTAACTGCTAATGAAGAATTGAGAGGTCTCTCTTGGGAAGTGAACGGCATTCCAAGTAGAATGACTTGTTCTGAAGAAACAGAAGATGGGAGTCCTTCAAGCTCCCAACCTAAAACCCAGTGTTGAGAAGGAGGTTGGACATGATGACAACTGTCAGTGTCTTGAGTCTCTCATTCCTCCTTTCAGTAACTAGCTATTTATTGAGTGTCAAACAAGAAGGTGCCATGATCAGCAGAAGTGTGCGCAGCGGAGTCGCCTTCGTGATGCTTTTCTTCATTCCAGGGTCCACCGAATGGTGTTTGCGTTCTGTGAGAAGCCTCTTCACATTGCATAGGTCTGTCTTCTGTGTCTGCACATGCTCTCTTGTTCCTAGAAAGGCCATCGCCACCATAGTGTGGCCAACAGGCAGGCTTCTGTTGCATGCCACCTGCCAACTGGTGGGATCTAATCACACCCACACCATCACAGGCTGACTCACCGGTGAACTGCACACCATTCACATCCACGAACACGGGGGTGGCTGATCCATTGGCAGTCTATTTAAGTTATGTTTTCAGAGACAAAGAAGGTTGTCTGATGGACACATTAATAATTAAAAATGGATCTTGTAAATGAGGCCGGCGGCAAAGACGTACCTTTTCATGTGTAACCGTATATACAGTTGAAAAATTTTATCTGACTGGAAATAAAGGCATTTTGTAGCAAAAGGAAGTTTTGTGTAAGGAATGATTTTTCTCTCCCCCACTCAGAGAACAGATTTCTAATCAAACTAAAAAGACTTTCCACGGTTATTAGAACCCAAGACTGTAGGCAAACTCTGGAGAGGAGGCATTGACATAGCTTCTTAAACCCCCTGAGGAGGGTGTGGTCTATCTCACTGATCCATCCTTCCACCTGAATCAGGACAGTGAATTCTGGGTGTCACAGCAGACTAACCCTTCAAATCTCAGTGGCTAGACGAAATGTTCGTTTATCATTCACATACAGCACATTCTGTGGCTCTCTGGTTTTTTTTTGGGGGGTTGTTTGTTTGTTTGTTTTTTGGGGGGGTTGGTTTTTCAAGACAGGGTTTCTCTGTGTAGTTTGGTGCCTGTCCTGGAACTCACTTGGTAGCCCAGGCTGGCCTCGAACTCACAGAGATCCGCCTGGCTCTGCCTCCTGAGTGCTGGGATTAAAAGCATACACCACCACCACCTGGCGGTTCTCTGTCTTCTAATGGTGCCCTCTAAAAAGTAGAGCCTCTAAGGTCCATGGAGTAAGAAGAGAGAAAAAGGAGATGCCTGCTGCTTAACCACCTCCTCAGAAGAACACGCATAACCTCTCTTTACGTTTGATTGGCCAGATCATGGCATCCTTAAAGATGCAAACAGCCTAGGAGAATTAGGAAACAGCGGAGACCGTACTACATTCTCCATCATGGGTTCTCTTTGGCATTCCATGATTAAAAAAATTTACTTCTGCATGAGTAGAAAATCGATGAACCTTCCTGCAGATTTGTTTAGCACAGTTCAGTAGCTCTTCATGCCATGTCTGTGTAGTGGGCAGGAGTAAATACTGCAGTCGTCTTACAACTGAGATCAGAAATGCTCAGTGAAGCGGGGTTTATTGGTTTCCCAAAAGTCTTGATTTGGGGAAGGGGTGGACCTAGATCTAAAATCTGATGCTTTACATTCTACCCACAGTCTGCTGGGGGAAGGGTGGGGGTTCATTCTGACTTGGGGCTTCTTCGTCTTTATGCCTAACATTCATCATGGTTGGTTTATGTCAAACCAGTTGTACTAATTTTAAGTGCATTTATTTATTCAGTGTTCCTATGAAGCAAATACTCTCTCATCTTAATTGTACAGATGGGGAAACTGAGGCATGGCATAGTCTTTCTCTTTCATAGCTTGTTCAAAGTCACACAACAAAAGCATTTTAGGGCCAAGATGGGGACCAAGCAGTTTTTGTCCAGAGTCCTTGTTTTAGCCCAAATTAATACAGCTCTTCAGTTAAGATCAATTGCATTTCTCTACCTTGGTGGGGTCCTGAGAGCAGTTAAAAGGGTGTAGTCTGGGGTTAACTGGGAGCAGGAAATAAGCAGCCAGTCGACAGGAAGGTGTTAGTCATCCCCTGTGCAAACTTATGGATCTGCAGGGGAGATGGCTTAATTTGCAATCAAGGGCGGAGCTTCTCACCCCTGATTCAAGGAACTGGGGCAGGCCCAGGTGATGCAATAGTGACTTCAGCTTCCCCATCTTCCGGAAAAGGGGAGAAAGAAGAAGTAGTCTGGGTCACATTGGGTCTCATAAACTCCATTTGAACCCCTGGGGTAGCCTCTGAGCGTTAGCAGTTTACAGTCTTTTCCTCCTCCTCTTGGAGGTCTGTCTATATTTTGGTAACTCTTGGTCCCCTTCTCATCCACCGGGCTGGAGCAACAGCCACAGCAGCAGTAGGAAGAAGATTGGTGTGTACAGCCACCCGGCAGCCTGTGGCAGCTGCATGGTGACAGCCACAAACCCAGGGTGACGTCACTGCAGAGAGAAGAGCACTACCCCCCACGTGGTGGTCTTCAGTATCGCAGCCACACGTCTGTCCTTCACCACCTCCCGAGGCAGCAGCCTAGAACTTGTCCCTTTGTGTTTGGTCTTACCCTGATTGCCTCATCTGGCACTGTTGACCTAAACCAACCAGCCTACTGGGATGCCCGGGCTTACAGGCATGCTGGGTCATATAATTCCTCCCTTTGTATCATCTGAAGATAAGAGTCTGCTCCAACCTCAGACGTCTGTGCAGGAAATGAGCCTACTAGTCATAAGTTCTTCTGGAAACGAGCCCTGTGGTCACAGGTTGCTCTGGGCTGGGCTGCAGGTTAGAAGAGGAGAGCCAGGGCACAGATGTGGACAGAACTCTGTTGGCTCCCTTTCTTCCTGTGCTGAATTGGAACCAAAGCTGAGGGTGCCCCTGGGCTTCATCCTGTCCCCGTCCCCCCGCCCCCGCCACCTCCACTCCTGATCATCTGTTTGTCTTTCCCTTCTCTGGCCCCCTCCTCTTGGCTCCCTCCAACTGGTTTTCAGAGCCCAGCCTGCTACACAGCCAGTTTCCCAATCAGAACGTCTTAAAATCTTCATCTGTGTGTTTATTCTGAAGGTTCCTTTGGAGCTCAGAAATGTCAGCCACCTTTCCCATGTATCTCTGCCTCTGTCACCACGCGGTGTGCTCCTGCCCCAGCATGGACTGCCTAGGAAAACCGCTTCTCTCTGCCATGGGAGGCCAGAGGCCCCCAAGTTAAGAGAACAGGTTTAGTGGGGTACAGACCTGTGGACTGAGCCCACACTCACCTGACATTCTCAAGCAAAGGGAGTTGTTTCTCCAGTTTTAGTGTTCTTGTCTGTGAAGCACAGATGGCAGCGGCGCCTGCCTTGTGTGAATGCCTCAATGGTAGATACAAAGCATTTAGTTAGTGTAGGGACAGCGAAACTGCTCAGTGTTAGCTGTCATCACTACCGGCTGTTCTGTGGCGCTTGGGATGTCCATCGGAAAATGGACAGGAAGAACATCCATGTTCTTCATGTCCATCTCATATGGATGTTGAGCCAGTTCCAACTTAAGGGGATTCAACTCTTCTGCTTGGCTTCAGAGCTGCCTCAGCTGACTAAACCTTCTGGGGAGTTCTGAATGAAGCCCAATGGGCATACAGGATCAGTTTTGTTTCAAACACACCTCACTCTAAAACAGCCAGGCCAAGAAATGCCCATGGTTTTCCTCGGTGGCTTTTTCTCTCCAGTATGACAGGAATTCTTTTGCTCTATTAGATTTAACTACAAGATTCATTTAATTCACTTCTGACTAACTAGCACAAGGACCACACCCATCTTGGATACCTACTGGACAACCTATGGATGATCACTCAGCATGCTGTGCAACCGGTGTCCAGAAACAAAAGTATATTCAAGATGTTCAGTAAGTCTGGCCATGCCCAAGAGTCCGAAGCCAGTGACAGGAACCTGTAGCCTCTCTGCTTTAAGCAAGCTAGCTAAAGCTCTACTGTGACACAAGAGTCTCCACAGGCCTGTAGATTCTTCTGAACGCAGCCCTAAATGTCCCTGCCACATGTCATCTGCCCTTCCAGATCCCTGCAGTGGCCTGTCTTATGCCACCAAGGCAGTTATTACCCGACAGAGACTTCATTCTTCCAACAGCTTGAGCCACAGCTGGAAGAATTTGGGTGAGGCAAAGGGAAGGTTGTGCTAACACCAAGTGTAGACAAGTTCAAGTGGGTTGCCAAGAATCAGACAATCTGTAGCGACTTTTCAAATTTAGAAACTAGGGAAAGTCTAGTAGTCATCTGACCGGACAGTGCCAAAAATACCCTGGATGACCTCTCAAGGTCTTCCAGCCTTGAGCTCTACTGACTAACAGTAAGCAAGTGGCTGTGCTCCAAGAGCCTTTCCACCCTCATTGATAATTTTCCCGTCATACATTAAACCTCCCCTTGAATTTGTTCCTTGTCCACCTCTGGGCAACCTTTATCCCTTAACTCATGTCCACATGCACCCTGTGCTCTCTCTGTCTCAAGATTCTTTTTAGACACACTCAAATCACTCATTCTCATGGTCACATGCTTGCCAGGGCCTCTTACCCAGTTGCTTTTCCTATTTCCCATGCTTATCTGGGCACAAAAAAAAAAAAAGAAAAGAGAAAGTTAAGAGGAGCACAAGAAACTAATCTCCCTTGGTAACTGATGCTAACAGCAGTTGCTAGAAGAGAAGGTGGGACTCCAGTGGTCACCACAACATGAGAAACTGTATTAAAGGGTCACAGCATTAGAAAGGTTGAGAACCACTTCTCTAAGGAAAGGGTTTTACCCAAGAAGAGGGTGGGGTACTCACTGATAAAATGAACCATAGTCCAGGGACTGGATTCCATAAGGCATTTAGATGGATGTTGGCAAATTGCAAGACAAGAATTATTTCAACAGTGGGAGAGATGTTGGTCAGTAGGGAAGACTAACCACTATTTCAAAAGTCATGTTCCTGTATGTCTTTATTGTGGTGGAGAGTTGGTTATGGTGCATTCCACAGTAAAAGCATGGAGGTCAGAGGCCATTCATGGGAGTCAGTTCTCTCCTTCCACCATGTGGGTTCTGAGGACCAAACTCTGGTCATCAGGCTTGGCACCAGACATCTTTGCTGCCTGAGACATGTCAATAACCCTAATCTCATTTCTTTTTCTTTTGATAACTCCTGGACCACTTGCACAAGGATGAGTTGTGTGTTTCCTGTGGTTGAATTTAAACAACATAAGTCACCAAGTCTCAACTCATTTCCTTGTGGCCAATGTGAATTAGAAGAGCAGTGGTACCCAGCGTGTGGTGATTAACAGGTTAATGTCAGTCAGAAGCGGGGATTCTGTAGCCTGGAGACAGCCCTGCTCCCCTTGGATTAAGACTAATTTCAGTCCTTCCTTTAATCTTACTTGAGACTTCAAACCTTCAATATTATAACTGTTGGATTACAGCCTCCCTAGTTTGTGAGTTTGCTCTCTCTCTCTGTCTCTCTCTCTGTCTCTCTCTGTGTCTCTGTCTCTGTCTCTCTCTCTCTCTCTCTCTCTCTCTCTCTCTCTCTCTCTCTCCCTCTCTCTGAAACTCTTCAAGACAGAGAGATGATGCCCAGAAAGCACACTAAGCTCTGGCCCTGCAGCCCTCCCCCTTGCAGACAAGTTTATAGTGT